CCGAGTAGAGCGGGCTATGGCTCCTGGTGTCTGCTGCTGTTGTGTTGAGTGAATATGTGTGGCGGCAACAGCTGCTGCTGCTGCTACTGCTGAGCCTGCTGCATGGGTGGGATTGCTGCATCTGCTGCTGTGCTTTATGTGAGTGGGCAGCAGATGCTCCGCTCGCTGCTGCTGCTGCTGCTGCTGCTGCTGCGTGGTTGCCTTTTTATGAGCAGCAGCAGCAACCGCTGCTGCCGAACCCACGTGTTTGCTAGCAGCGGCAGCAGCGGCAGCAGCAGCAGCTGCTGCTGCAGTGTATGTTGCGCTTTAGCNGCAGCTGGCACACACCACCGGCAGCAGTAGCAGCGGCGGCAGCAGCAGCCGATGGTCCGCATGTTGTTTTTGTTGTGCTCGTGCATAGTTTTGAGGCCCTCAGCAGGGTGACGCTTTGCTGCTGCTGTTGTTGTTGCTGCTGTGTGTTTGTTTGTGTGGCCGTAGCTGCATGGGCAGCAGCAGCACCAGCTGCAGCAGCAAGAACGTTCTCCCTCACCAACGAGATCGCAGCAGCAGCAGCAGCGGCAAGACCAGCCGCAGCAGCAGCAACAGCAGCATGGATCTGCCCGCAATGCACTTTTTGGGTCTGAAAGGGCTAACGCTCATGGAAGGGGTTCATCGGGGGGCCAGGGGCCCCCCCTTGGTGAGCACCGCCGGGTGCGGGACCTGAGTGGGGGCCCCTCTGCAGCATCAGAGTCCGGCGGCCGCTCGAGGGGCCCCCGTAGCGCAGGGGAGGGGGCCACCCACGACACCCCTCGTACCCTGCATTTGAGGGAGAGGCCCTCTTGCTCTCCACCGGCATTCAGGGGCCCCTCTGTAGACCGTAGTAGCGACAGAGAAAGCAGGCGGCCCAGGGGGGGCACGCGGGCAGCGGAGGTGAGGGCCTCTACAGGGGGGTCGAGGGGCCCCGGGGGCTCCAGCGATACATTAAATGTAGATGAATCTTCGCAGATGGGGGCCCCTAGGGGTTCGTACGCAGAGTGGCGCGAGGGAGAGAGGGGAGGGGGCCGGTCCCGCGGGCGGCAGTCTCCTGAGGAGGAGGCTGGGGGCCCCGAGGGGCCCCATGGGTGGGATCGATGGGCGTCAAGGAAGAGGGGTACTTCTCCTGGTGCAGAGACGAAGGGAACAACGCATGCAAGGCAGCAGCACCACAGCCACAGGTCACCTCCCCCAGGGCGCCATCGCAGGGGCCCCTGGGGGGGCCGGCCTTCTGAAGAGAGGGGCCCCTCAGGCTTCTCCCCACGAAGCCGTAATGCAAGAGAGGGGGCCTCCCGGCACTCTGGGGGGCAACATGGCGAGGGGGCCCACGGGGGGGCCCACGGGGGGGCCCCCGAGAGCCGCAGCCGGCACAGACACCGCAGCAGCAGCCAAGACTCTGCGGGGGAGTGGGGACAAGGCAGAGGGAGAAACCCGCAACATAGAGAAACGCACTACAGCCCCCATAAACAAACCAGGAGAGATTGGGGCCCCAGGGGAGGAGGCAGGGCCTCGTATGAGAGAAAGCCCCGCAGCAGCCGCGGCAGCGAACGCTCTGCATCTCCAGTGTATGAGGAACAACGCAGTAGAGGGCATCAAGGGAGCAGGGGGGCCCCTCAGCGGGCCCCATCAAGAGAACGTGGAGGGGCCCCAAGAGGACCCTCAGGTGCCCCTAGGGAACCCCACAGGCGCCCAGCAGCAGGAGCGTCTGCCAGCCCCCCAAGGGAGTGGTCGGGTAGGGCCCGAGGGGGCCCCGAGCCGGGGGCCCATCACTCGCGTAGCCGTAGCAGGAGCCGCAGCAGCAGCAGACAGGCGCGCATGCATCAGCGACGACCTAGAGTAACCAGCCGGGGTAGCAGAAGCAGTAGCCGAAGAAGCAGTAGCAGAAGACGGGAGGAGGTGAGGCCCCCGAGAGAGAGAATGCAGGAGAGGGAGAGAGAGGGGGCTTCGCGGTTTCGCAGCGGCAGCAGAAGCAGCAGCAGACGCAGCAGCAGCAGAACGCGCAGACACAGACGCA